CAGACCGAGGCCCGTAGCCAGGATTTTGTAGTTTGTGGGGCAATTTTTTTTTCTGAAGGGGGCTGCCATTTTTGCCATTATTTTATTTATATTTATTTATTAGATATATACCCCGCCCTCCCCGCAGAGGCAAGCTCAGGGCAGCTTGCATAAAATCTGTAAAACAATTTTTAAGACTATTTAAAACCATATAAAACCTAAAGTGCAGTACATACGCTGTTTTTCTGTCTTTACACAACTGTACAGCACAATCTGTGTCCCTAGAACAATCTGTGCCCCTTTTTCTCACCCTAATCTTGCAGTAGATTCTCCCAAATGCAAAACCGATTTGGCAAAACCCATTTCTCTCCTCCTTGCTCTCCCTGGTCCCTTCCCTAGAAAAAACTATGAGAAGAGGAGAAGAGATTGGATTTATACTCCACCCTTCACTTGGAGTTTCAGAGCAGTTTACAAACTCCTTTCCCTTCCCCTCCCCACAACAGACACCCCGTGAGCAGTGTTCCCGCTAAACTGAGTTAGTCTGAGCTAGCTCAGTTTTTTAGCCTTCACCTCACACATTTTTGTCTTAGCTCAGGAAGTGTGGCTCCAGAGAAAACTCATTTATGCAGTAGCCAAATCGCTTGCTCACAACTTTTAATGCCAGTAGCTCACAAGGTAGAATTTTTGCTCACAAAACTCCACAGCTTAGAGGGAGCATTGCCTGTGAGGCAGGTGGGGCTGTGAGTGCTCTTTAAAGGACTGCCCTTTCAAGGACATCTCAGACAGAACTATGGTTTGCCCAAGGTCATCCAGCAGCTGCAAGTGGAGGAATGGAGACTCAAACCCGGTTCTCCCAGATTAGAGTCCGCACACTTAACCACTACACCAAATTGGTCCTTTCATCTATTGTGCCAGTTTGGTGTAGTGGTTAAGTGCGTGGACGCTAATCTGGGAGAACCGGGTTTGATTCCCCACTCCTCCACTTGCACCTGGCTGGATGACCTTGGGCAAGCTGTAGTTCTGATAAGAGCTGTTCTTGAAAAAGAGCAATTTCTGTCAAGAACTCTCTCAGCCCCAACTAGCACACAGGGTGTCTGTTGTGGGGAGGGGAAGGGAAAGGAGTTTGTAAGCCGCTCTGAGACACCTTTGGGTAGTGAAGGGTAGGGTATAAATCCAATCTCTTCTTTTCCTTCGTCGTGTAAGTCAGTGGTTCTCAACCTTCCTAATGCCGCGACCCTTTAATACAGTTCCTCGTGTTGTGGTGACCCCCAACCATAAAATTATTTTTGTTGCTATCATAAGACCATCAAAAAACTGTGTTTTCCAGTGGTCTTAGGCGACCCCTGTGAAAGGGTCGTTCAAGCAGTTCGAAGGCAAGAAATTGCAAGTAGATAAATAGGTACCACTCCAGTGGGAAGGTAACAGCGTTCCGTGACCCTTGGTGTTTAGTCATGCCGGCCACATGACCACGGAAACGTCTTCGGACAGTGCTGGCTCTTCGGCTTTGAAACAGAGATGAGCACGGCAACCCTAGAGTCGAATTCGACTGGCTTTTGAGCAAGGGAACCTTTACCTTTTAAGCCACACGATAGCCGAATGTCTGTCTTCCTGCCCTTCCCAGGCTGTTCAACCCTCTCAGAGCCACCTGGATGAATTCCTGTGGGGCTGTCCCTTTAAGAAAGGGGGCAGATCCCCAAATAGCCCCACCGTAGCTACAGGGAGGTATGCCTTGGTCCATTTGACTTTGGCAGCAGCAACAGCATGCTTGAAAGTAAGCGAGGAGACCTTGCCCAAGTAGATTAACAGAGAAGTATATCAATGAATGTGTCAACTTGAAGGTAACATTGAATGTGAGATTCCTACATAGGATTTGTTCCTGAGGAAAGACCATAGGTCTGAAACACTTAAATATCCGGAAGAAGTGTTGAAAGAGATATTGAATTTGGAGCAGACTCCTTTTGAGAATACAAGACTGTTAGAAGAATATTCACTGAGAGAGTTTGGAGCAGACTGCTGTGTGTAATTTTATTGACCTCTGTATTTTTTCGATGAAGGAAAAAGTGTGTTTTTCATTACTTGACCCTAAATGACGCTGTGGCTTTAACCATTCTAGTCTCTTTTGTTATTGTATTATTCTGTGGGCATCTAGCACTCATCTGTATATATTTTTTCTTGCCAGTCTGTCTTGAGATTGTGTGTTATTCTTTCGGAAATCTAAAATCAAACAGGAAGCTGAGACTAAACATAAATGTTAACGTGACCTGTTAACCAGTGCAGAAGTTTCACAGTAGGATAATGCACACAGCAACAGATAGTACTATACATGGTAGTGTAGTCCGTAATCCCGTTTCCTTTATTAAAGCATCTTCCTGACCATGGCTGTTATAAATATGGCCCTATGATTTCTAACCGCTCTCAATAGCGGAACACTGGGTTTCCTGGAACTCCACCCCTTTACCTTCTCCCACATACGAAATCTCTCGCACAAGCGGGAGGCTGCTGTTATGGGGTTGAAAAGCTCCTCTTCTCCCCACAACACAGACCAAGCAAACCCAGTGCTGGGCACAAGGTAAGATGTTACCTTTAACTGCAACCGTATGTCATAGCACAAATCAATAGCAGCCATTCAAACACTCTTGAGCTAAAAGCATATGGCAACATAGTTCTTACCGGGGGAAACAGCAAAACAGCACAGTGTGCAAAGGTTTCCTTGCAATAAGCAAGCTCTCTTCCCAAACCTGCCCATCCTTTTGGCTTGATGTGGAGGATAAAGGCCACTTTTTCAACATTGTGACCGAGAAACTGAACCTGGGATGTGCCTGTGTGGAAGGACATTGAGTTGATGGGCAAGCAGCAGTGTGGTGTAATATCTAGAGCATGAGACAGACTGGGGAGGCCTGAGTTTGAATCCCTGCTTATACCCTGGTGCTTATTCAGTAAACTCGGACCACTTACTCTCTCAGTCCAACCTGTTCTGCCGGGTTGTTGTGAAAGATGGAGAACCATATACACCACACTGAGCTTTTCGGAGGAAGGCCTCATCTTAGAAGCATTTAGGAATTATTCATTCAAATTATAAAGATAGCTGAATAATTTACCGGTCCTCTCAATGAAAGTTCGAAGCCTTCCTGTAACTTGCATGGCTCTTTCGTAGGTAAAAGAGTCAGTCAAGTTAGAGAAAGGCACCAAACTTTGCAGTAGGCTAAAGACTAATATGGTGACAGGAGTCAACCTTTGTTGTGTGCATACACCTTTTTAGTAATCCTTTTACAAGTTACTGTAACTAATGGAGACAGCCGTCCCTTTTCTAATTCACTCCCTTAATTAAGTTCCAATAGTTAATTTCCGTTCACCTAAAGTTAGCACTTACAAGGCACTTCATTTGGTATACCTTAGAGGCTCCTTTCTGGCCAGGCTCTTACCTGGCTACTTGGAGACTCCTTTCTGGGCAGGCTCTCACTTGGATGCTTCAAATACTGAAGAAACCATCATTGCTTCTAAAACCAGTTATTTTCTTTTTTTCCCCCTCTTGTCTTTTGGGTTAAAACTGTTGTTTGAAGACACTAGAACGGAAGCCTTGTTTCTTCAGTTGACCATCATCTTCCCCTCATTAAACATCCAGCAGCTGTTCTTTGGTTCACCCTGACTGAATGCCATTTTGTATTTTGCCTTATATAGTCTCTGGGCCAAGAGGCTTCAGCCTATCAGTATCCACCATTTCTCAGGCCTGCTATGAACCTATGAGAATGGATAAAATGTCCACAGGTGGCCCAAATCGAGAGACCTAGACTTCATTTTAGCCTTTCGAAACACTGCAGGAAGGGAAACCACTCAACTTTTACCTCAGAATTTCCACATAGCTCAATCCTTCACGTTCCCATATATAACCACTAATTATACATTTGCCATACATTTAGTTGGTCTTTATGCAAAATATCAAGGTGGTTTTACCACAGGAACAAAACCCTAAAGAGTCTTGGGTGGACCAGGAAAAAAAGGAGGGAGTTTTGGGTTATGCCTGACGAGCTGACTGGCTTAGAAAGAACTGAGCTCATCCCAAACAGGTGCATGACAGTGACATCGTGAACCCAGGTTACCAACAAGCCTGGAGACAAATGTCCTCTTAGTAGAGGCTTAGTGTGTGGAAATAGGAACCTGAAGCTTTTCATGGTGTTGAGGTAAATGGTATCACCTGGTAAAGAACAGCCCATTAAGCCACAATTAAAGGGATAGAACAAAGTTGGGATCCAGTGGCACCTTTAAAACCAACAAAGTTTTATTCCGGGTATAAGCTTTCACATGCCGTGTGCATGCACACAAAAGCTTATACCCAGAATTAAACTTTGTTGGTCTTAAAAGTGCCACCGGACTCAAACTTTGTTCCGTTGCTTCAGACCAACACGGCTACCCACCTGAATCTATTAAAGGGCCAATATTTTTTTTCTTAAAGCAGTTGGCAACTGTATGCCCTCAAGCAGATAGACTGCCTGCCTTAGGTCTCTGCGCTTGGCAGTTTCTCCCTGTGTCTGTGTAGAATGCAAACCCTCCCTGCTGTTTGGAAACTTTAAACCAAAAACCCATCTCTCTCCCAAAGCAAAGGGCCAGTCACTCCCCGATGTCATTTGTTGTTTGTCCACTGCTGTGGCGGCCATTTTGCGGTGGCTCAGAATTCCGAAAGACTCGCCCAGGTTGAGGGATTCCTTTCATAGAAACCGGCCAGGTTTTAAAAGGGAGCACAAGAGAACCTTTGCAGCTGAGGGAAAGGTTATTAACTGAATATTACTCCGCATGTCTGGTATTGTGGAAGAACTGAGACTGGAAGGGCGTGGGGTTACTAAGGAGAATTTCTCATCTTCTGAGCGTCACTCTTTAGTTTTTGTGTACAAGGAGTTGGAATGGAACGGAGCGAAGAATAATCTTGGCTTCTTCTCATAACGAAAGCTCTGGTCTGCTTGGGACGCCTGGATACAGCTGTTGTTTTCCTAACTGACTTGAATCAATTCTTTCTTCAATAATTTCAGACCGTTCTTCACCCGCAGTGCCTGAAGTACCCCCCCTCAGTGAAATACAGGAGACACTTCTTGTCAGAACTCATAAGGAGGGTAATGCAGACTTTCAGTGATCAACTTTTGGTAGCAGAGATATGCTTTGGCAAGAGGGGAAGGTCCGTGTAACACCCAGGTTGTAGATTTTGGGGCGTAAACTCCTCAGTGGTAGCTACTATCCAACACCCTTGGCTTCAGACTGGAGGGAAAGGGGTTGTTCGCCACCTATTTCTTCCTTGTCTCTCTGAGAAGCCAGTCTGGTGTAGTGGTTAGGAGCACGGACTCTAATCTGGGAGAACCAGGTTTGAGTCCCCACTCCTCCACATGCAGCTGCTGGTATGACCCTGGGTCAGTCACAAGTTCTCTCACAGTTGTTCTCTCACGAGCAGTCCTCAAAAGAGCGCTTTCAGCCCCACCTACCTCCCAGGCTGTCTGTTGTGGGGAGGGGAAGGGAAAGGAGATTGCAAGCCACTCAGAGACTCCTTCGGGTAGTGAAGGGTGAGGTATAAATCCAATCTTCTCCTCCACCTTCAGAATTCCCGACCATCCACAAACAGGCACCCTTGTCCGGTCACTCCTGTGCTTCTGCGTGACTCAGTATTCCCAGCCCACCTTTTTTTAAAAAAAGATCTTTGCAATTCATGCAGAGATGCAACAGGCAGCCTCCTGTGTCTATGATTACTTAATTTCCATTTGTTTATTTCTAACAGCACCATTTCAGTACTGTCACGCTCACTTGCGCACAGTTGTAGAATTCCCAGCATACACAGCCGAGGCTTGTGCTGATCCCATATCTTACCGCAACAGCATGGTTGCTCCCATATGAGGGTGCTAGAGGCAAGGCAAGGAGACGATCTACCCCTTGCTTCACCTGGCTCTGCCTCCCAGCTGCTCCATAGAAGGGGCTTTTTCTAAGGGAAGAAGCTCTTAGAACATAAGAGAGGCCATGTTGGATCACGCCAATGGCCCATCCAGTCCAACACTCTGTGTCACACAGTGGCCAAAACCCAGGGGCCCTCAGGAGGTCCACCAGCAGGGCCAGAACTCCAGAAGCCCTCCCACAGTTGCCCCCCAAGATAGAGCCTCACTTCCCCAGGCATAAGAACACAGGAGAAGCCGTGTTGGATCACGCCAATGGCCCATCTAGTCCAACACTCTGTGTCACACAGTGGCTAAAACCCAGGTGCCGTCAGGAGGTCCACCAGTGGGGCCAGAACTCCAGAAGCCCCCCAAGCACCAAGAAGATGGAGCATCAGTGTCCCAGACATAGTATTCCATCTGTACCTTGCTCTTGGGTAGAAGCTCCTTGGGAATGATTCTGTTCTGGCTTTCACAAGCAAACTGCAGTCGTAAGATAAAGCATAGGCTGGGTTAGAGGGGGCAGCATTAACTGGTGCAGCGGTGACTATTGATCTCTTCCCCCCCCCCCCCCCCCCACCCAGCACAGTGCAGGACTGTCTGTTTATTCAGTAATTGCCCTATGTTCTCTTGTTACGAGGAAAGAAATAAAACGGGCCTGTGATTTTGTAACTCTGTCTGCTCTCTGTGTGACGTCTTGAGGCCGTAAATTGACTTGGGTCTCTCCCTCTCTCTCTCCTGCAGCATGAAAGTACATCAGCCGAGCCTTTGGATGAGCTATACGAAGCGCTGGGTGACGTCTTAAACGCAGAAGCGTCGTCACACTGTTACAAAAGCTACATTTTGGTAAATCTAAAGAAATCTTGGCTTTCTTGACCGTCGTGGATGCGATGTCGTTGCCTTTTGTGTCATTTAACCATCCCCTGAAGCAGAAATCTGGGCATCCGTGGTCCGTGTTGCTTTTGGAATATGTTTCTGTTCCCTAAGGTGAGAGCAGTGGCGTGTGTCTGGAGCATATTTTAAAATGCCAGTTAAGATTAAAATGTGGGATTCGCTGCCCGAGGATGTAGCGATGGCCACAGGAAGAATAAACAGCTTTCAAAGGGGATTAGATAGATTCATGGAGGATAAGTCTATCAGTGGCTACTAGCCATGGTGACTGAGGGGAACCTCCACATTCACAGGCACTAATCCTCAGAATCCCTGAGCCAGAAGACAACATCAGGGAGAGGCCTGGGGCTCCATGCCCTGCTGTTGACTGTCCAGAGGAACTGGTTGGCCACCATGTGAGACAGGATGCTGGACTAGATGGACCCTCACTGGTCTGATCCAGCAGGGCTCTTCTGAGGTTCTTCTCAGGGGAAGGCCTCGGCCTTTATGCCCTGTTGTTGGCCCTCCAGAGGAACTGGTTGGCCACTGTGTGAGGTAAGATGCTGGACTAGATGGACCACTGGTCTGATCCAGTGGGCCTCTTCTTCTGTGAAGGCCTTGGCCTCTGTGCCCTGTTGTTGGCCCTCCAAAGGAACTTGTTGGCCACTGTGTGAGACAGGATGCTGGACTAGATGGACCACTGGTCTGATCCAGTGGGCTCTTCTGATGTTCTTATCAGGGGTAGGCCTCGGCCTCTATGCCCTGTTGTTGGCCCTCCAGAGGAACTGGTTGGCCCTTCTATGAGACAGGATGCTGGACTAGATGGACCACTGGTCTGATCCAGCAGGGCTCTTCTTATGTTATGTCTCAACTGGCCATACAAAGATTGTGGCATAGGAGATGAAACAGTCACTTAGCTTGCAGCCGAACCTGACCTGCCTTCTAGGGCGGTTGTTAGGCTAAACTGGCAAATCCCACGGAAAAGGGTGGCATAACTATGTACCATATTTGGGGGGGAAACTGAAGTTGCGGGATGTGTGATGAAGTTGAATGCAACACACAATTGGCTTGTGCTATCAATAGGTTTTTATTTATAGCCCTCAGGAGATGCTGTGGCAGTCCGTGAAAACGTGGCGATCATTTCACAAGGGACCACAGGACTCGTCACGTGGGATGCCGGTCTTTTCTTGGCTGAATGGGCACTGGAACACCCTTTAGTCTTCACTAACAGGTAACGAAGCTCATGTCTGTTGGGTAGATAAGGCCCGGAGACTAGAGTTGTTCATCAAAATAAAGTTCTTTATCTACATCTATTAGGAAGGGGGGGGGAACGGGAAAGTTCTAATAAAATAACAAAGTCCTGAGCTACATATTCATACAGCAAAGTAGGCTGATACATACCACAAGCCATGCTCCCTCTAAGCTGTGGCGTCTGGTGGGCAAAAATTCTACTTTGTGAGCTACTGGCATTAAAGTTGTGAGCGAGCCATTTGGCTGCTGCATGAATTAGTTTGCTCTGGAGCCATCCTTCCTGAGCTATGACAAAAAATGTGTGCGCTGGAGGCTAAAAAAACTGTGAGCTAGCTCACACTAACTCAGCTTAGAGGGAACACTGACCACAAGTCTCAAAGAGGAAAAAGGTAAAAGCCTAGAGGCAAGGCTGCTGAGCAAGTAACCTCTGTTCTAGAACCTTAACAGGAAGATGCTCAAGCTCATTGGCCAACCCAAACACTGTTAAATTAAAACCATCCAATCAGTATGTCAAACACAGCAGTTAACATACAGGATTGGCTCTGAGCCAGTTTGCACTTCCAAGTCACGTCTTTGGTGGAATCATAACAAACATATTAACCCTAAAATGACCGAAAATTTAGATCTTGCCATATCCCAACAATGTTGTCTTGTTCCAGGCTTGAGCGGAGGAAGAGAGGGCAAGGTTGAGCCATTGAATCCTCTTTCTGTTGCAAGGCAGGGGCTTGTTTTTTCCAGCTATTCTTCAACCATTTCCGAATGCAAAATTCCCTAGGCAGTTTGCAGCCTGACAACGGAAAAAGGAAAACACAAATTAAAAAGAGACCATGAAATCGACAACCCAGAGTCAATAATATCGGCAGGATGCCACGATGTAACGCAGTGCAGCAAAGAGATTCGAGAAGACGGGGGGGGGGGATGTCAACAGAATGTAACGGAATTCAATTTACTGGATTTTCAGGAGGATCTTGGAGTTAGGAAGCGGTACCGGACTGACGGGAATCGCGATCTGCAAAACTTGCCTCCCCAGGGCGTACACCTTCAGCGATCACCACCGGTACGTTCTAGAAGAGCTGTCGGAGAACATCCGTTTGAACGGCTTTTCTGTGCAGTCTGAAGATGACAGTCTCGGTTGGGAGAAATGCAGAGATCACGAGGCAGAGGTGGCTGAACCGTGGGGCCCCAGCGTAACCGTTGCAGAACTTGACTGGGACTTGGTTACTGAAGAACAACTTGCAGGATTCCAAGCGGACGTTATCGTTGCTGCAGGTGAGCTCTGCGCTGGATGAAATCTAAAGGTAAAGGTTCCCTTGCTCGAAAGCCAGTCAGATCCGACTCTAGGGTTGCGGTGCTCATCTCCGTTTCAAAGCCGAAGAGCCAGCGCTGTCCGAAGACGTTTCCGTGGTCATGTGGCCGGCATGACTAAACACCAAGGCTGTCACCTTCCCACCGAAGTGGTACCTATTTATCTAGGTTGGCAGGAGCTGGAACTGCTAGGTTGGCAGGAGCTGGAACTAGAGACGGGAGCTCACTCCGTCATGCGGCACCCGGGTCTCGAACTGCTGAACTACCGACCTTCCACAGCCTGCAGTTCAGCGTCTTAACCACTTGAGCCACCGCAGCTCTACTTTGCAGTAATTTAAGAAAGAGGCCTGGACGGCCTGGGGTAATCCAGTCCTAGAAGCTAACTGGGGTTGACCCTGGTTACTTACTTGGACGGGACACCCTCAAGGAAGTCTGGAGAAGAGGAGGTTGAGGGGGGACACGATTGCTCTCTTGAAGTGTCTGAAGGGTTGTCATTTAGAGGAGGGCAGGGAGCTGTTCCTCTTGGCAGCAGAGGAGAGGACTCCCAATAATGGGTTTAAATTAAGGGCGGGAAGGTACCGACTTGGATATGTTGTCAGAGGCTTTCCTGTCCTGAAAAACACAAAATGCTCTACATCTTGCAGCAAAAGTATAAACCGCAAGGGTAGACCATCAAGAGATACACAACTTTCGCAAGTAAACCATAGACATCAGTCTATTGCAATACAATAACAATAAAGATACAACAGAATTGGTGGTCACAATGGCTTTCATAGTTACCGGCTGATTGAACTAAAGAGGAAGTTTTATACATATACATGTTGTTTACTCAAACCGCTTTCACACAGCACGATAACGCTCGCATTGATATTTCATTCCAGAATAATCGATGGGTGAACGAAACACAACTAAATTATGAGTCAGAAATTAGCGTTCCGGTATTTTTATTGAGGTTTTCGGCATGCAAATTGAATTTGCAAATTCAAAATACGATTTGATGATAGTGAAAATCTGCTTTGAAATGTCTGGCATACCTGGGAAGGACGTTTTCGGCTGTTAGACGTTTATTTGTGCTTGGTGACTTTGAGGTCTTTTGGGCACTATTATATTCAAAGGATATAGAGGAGTCTCTTGTTGGATGTTTTCCACCATCATCAAATTGTATTTTGAATTTGCAAATAGTGTTTTTGAATTGTGACCACCAATTCTATTGTATCTTCAGTTTATTGTTATTGTATTGCAATAGACTGATGCCTACTGTTTACTTGTGAAAGTTGTGTATGTTTTGATAGTCTACCCTTGCGGTTGATATTTTTGCATACCAGATATGCTTGGCTCATCTTTATTGGGACTACATCTTACAGCAGCACTACAGATAAGGTTAGAATTTCAACAGCCAATCCATATGCAAAAGAACCTCCTCAGGAAAGCTCCATTAGCATGTCTCACAGCCCGGGGAACTCCTACAAGAGAATGACTCAGCCCTACTCCACCTTCCTGAGTAGGTATAAATTCCCTGCCTACCATTTTTCTTCTCACCTTGACACAGAGAGTACTCCATCCTTCTGTGTTATGCCTCTGAGGATGCCAGTCACAGCTGCTGGCGGAACATCAGGTCCTACAATGCCAAGACCACGTCCACACAGCCCGGAAAATCCACAACAACTACTGACTGGATGTTAGGAAAAACTTTTTGACAGTCAGCGTTGTGCAACAGTGGAATCAACTGTTTAGGGAAGTGGTGAGGTAGGTGGGGCTGAGAGAGCTCTTTCAAGAACTGCCCTTGAGAGAACAGCTCTGAGACAACTTGTGACTGACCCAAGGTCACACCAGCAGCTGCATGTAGAGGAGTGGGGAATCAAACCCGGTTCTCCCAGGTTAGAGTCTGCGCTCCTAACCACTACACCAAACTGTGTGAGCCGGAGGCTAAAAAACTGTGAGCTAGCTCAGACTAACTCAGTTTATAGGGAATACTGGTGGTGAGCTCCCCCTCCCTGGCAGTCTTTAAGCAGCAGCTGGACAAACACTGGTCAGGGATGCTCTAGGCATTGATGCATTGAGCAAGGGGTTGGACTAGATGGCCTTTGTGGTCCCTTCCAACTCTGTGTGATTCTATGATTCTGTTATTATCCTAAGTCCAGGGGTGCTACACAGAGGCAGGCCACAGGAAACCGCCTCTGAACATGTCTTGCCTTGAAAAGCGTACGGGGTTGCCATATGTCAGCTGCTGTTTGGTGGTACTTTCCACCACCAAGAAAGAAGCCATCCAACCTATGGGGCTTTGGCACACCCATTTCAGTGCATGCGCATAAAAAGGCATGAAGCTACCTTACACGGAATCAGACCAGTGGTTGATCTGGCTCAGGGAGTGTCCAGTGTGAGGTCTTTCACTATATCCGCATATGCGCACTTAATAAAGCATAAGGAGGTCATTGGTTCTGCATGCTTGTGCCTTTCATATTGTATGTGAATCAGTGATCAAGTACTAGGCCCTGTGATGACTTCTTTGGACTTTATATTTTTTTTCCCCCTTTTTTTTTTTTTTTTGTTCCCAACATTCCCGATTTGTTCATAGTTTTCAATACTTCCTTTTACATTCTGTGCCATTTGTATGCACTTAATGCAAAAATAAAACATACATGCATTTTAGGGGGGAGGTTTTGTACAAGGAAAGAGAAAACAGCGCCAAAGTGAAGATTTGCGTCTTCAGTTTGCACAAGGGAGATACAAGAACAAAACGTGGGATTTTTAAGTCAAACAAGGAGGGATGAGAAGTTTGAGAGTGCTCCTTAAGACAGCCAGTTTGGTGTAGTGGTTAAGAGCGGAGGATCCTACTCTGGGAGAACCAGGTTTGATTCCCCACTCCTCCACATGAAGCCAGCTGGGTGACCTTGGGTCAGTCACAAGTTCTCTAGGAGCTGTTCTCTCAAGGGCAGTCCTTGAAAGAGCTCTCTCAGTCCCACCTACCTCACAGGGTATCTGTTGCGAGGAAAGGAAGGGAAGGTGATCGTAATCCACTCTGAGACTTCAAGTGAAGGGCAGGGTGTAAATCCAACTCTTCTTCTAATATGAATATACCTGATACTGTGGCCTGATACTGGATCAGACCCTTCGTCCATCTAGCTAGCTCAGTCTTCTCTGCTGTGGGTGGGAGCAACTCTGAGATCTCAGGAAAAGAAAAGTCTTTCCCAAATTCTCTCTCCCCCTTTGTCTTTTTCGTTGTCCGTTTTTAATCTCTCTTTTTGCACTAGATGTGGTGTATGATCCAGACCTAACGCAGTCCCTGGTTGCTGTGTTGCGGAAACTACCCGCTTGCACCAAAGATGGCAACCCCCCGGAAGTCTACATTGCCTCGACGTGTCGAAATCCAGATACTTACAGTCATTTCCAAAGGGCGCTTGGTAGGTACCCCTTTCAAAACCTGCCACGATTTCAGCCTCTGTGGATGGGCTCCATAGGGAGAGAACGCATGGCTGGGCTGAACTGAATTAAAATATTTTGCTAAGGACGGTGAGCTGCCTACACGTCAGCTCATAGAGTGGCACCACGCAATTGGCATCAGCTGATTTTCCAGGAAGGAGTTCCGGAAAGGGGCGTAGCAGTGTAAAGATAGCAACAACTTCTGGGCTACACTTTCCTGCAACGGTTGTGTAACACTTTCCTTTCTCCCTCTTCTCCCAGAGCACGTCGGGATCAGATGGGAAGATGTCCCTGGGCCCCGGAAGAACTTTTTCCCTTATGACCAGAATGCTAAGATAACGATTCTAAAATTGCTTCTTTAACACACAAACCCCATTCTATTTGGAACCATTTGAGACAGAGAATCATTCTGGTTCTACTAGAACATGATCATGCCACCATGCATTCGAATGCAAATGGGTCGCTCCAGTATTTGTGCCTTCGGGGTGGTTTAATTCATCACACTGGAAAATACACCACTGACTCTGTCACCATCTTTGCCAAGGGAACTTTAGTAATCCAACTGTACTGTTCTACGACGTTTGTGATTTTAACTTTCAAACCTGTCTTGAAGTCTGGCCAATGAGCTTCCTTAAAATGAATGCTGGTATCGTCTGAATTCTGCACAGTGATAAAATCTCGTTCCTCTTGCCATCACAGAATACGCCCATTACTGGCACATCTACTCTGTATGAATTCTCGAGAAGGGTCCTACCAGTTCCTTTACATGCCAAACTTGTAATTGGGGTGGGAGAGAGATAAATGTGGGCTTCTTCTTCACTTCTATTTTGTAACTCTTAAATTTTCTCTGATCCACGAGAGCTAGGAACTTCAAAAAATGAAAAGGGAAAGGACCATGCCTCTCTGTCACAGCATGTTTGTTACACCGCAAAAGCCACCAGGTTCAAATTACTGGCAACTCCTGGTAGAGGATTCTCGGTACCAAAGATGCAAAAGACTTCTTGGGATTCTCTGGCATCAGATCCAGTCCTTGCTACCAATCCTGAGCTAAATGGACCAGCGATGTAACAGTATAAAACAGTGATCCAGTTTGGTGTAGTGTTTAGGAGCAAGGACTCTAATCTGGGAGAACCGGGTTTGATTCCCCGCTCCTCCACATGCAGCTGCTGGGGTGACCTTGGGTCAGTCACAAGTTCTTCCAGAGCTGTTCTCTCTAGGGCAGTTCTCAAAAGAGCTCTCAGCCCCACCTACCTCACAGGCAATGTTCCCTCTAAGCTGTGGAGTCCTGTGAGCAAAAATTCTGCTTTGTGAGCTATTGGCATTAAAGTTGTGAGCAGGTGATTTGGCCACTGCATAAAATAGTTTGCTCTGGAGCCATCCTTCCTGAGCTAAGACAAAAATGTGTTAGCTGAAGGCTAAAAAACTGAGCTAGCTCAGACTAACTCAGCTTAGAGGGAACACTGCTCACAGGGTGTCTGTTGTGGGGAGGGGAAGGGAAAGGAGTTTGTAAGCCGCTCTGAGACACCTTTGGGTAGTGAAGGGCGGGGTATAAATCCAATCTCCTCCTCCTCCTCCTCAAATTCTTGCTTGCAATATAGGGACATATTTTAATATTAGATTTTTAGTTTATTTTATTTTATTACTCTTTTTACCCTTCCCATAATTTTTATAGCTCTTATACTCTGTTGATCTACCCTACCCTCGCCACAGTCACACATTTTGTAATAATTTACTCCAATATTATAGTGATTTCTACCCCAGTCTCTCCAGAGGCACTCGAGGTACACACAGTTAAGAACAATGCAAACAGAGTGTTTTAAAATGCACCGCCTGGATAAGTAGAAAACAGCAAGAGTCCAGTAGCACCTTAAAGACTAACAAAATATGTCACAGGCAATGCTCCCTCTAAGCTGTGGAGTCTTGTGAGCAGAAATTCTACTCTCTGGGCTACTGGCATTAAAGTTGTGAGCAAGCCATTTGGCTACTGTATAAATCAGTTTGCTGTGGAACCATCCTTCCTGAGCGAAGACAAAAATGTGTGAGCTGGAGGTTAAAAAACTGAGCTAGCTCACACTAACTCAGCTTAGAGGGAACACTGGTTGCAGGGTAGGAGCTTTCGTGAGTCACTGCTCACTCCTTTAGATACTTCAGAAGTGAGCAGTGACTCAAGAAAGCTCATATCATGCCACATATTTTGTTAGTCTTTAAGGTGCTTTTTTTCTATTGCTACAGACAAGAGTACCATGCCTACCCATCTTGATCTATCAGCTTGGATAAGGACATCTTTAGATCAGTCACCACAGGAAAGCCCTGCCTTGTATGACTGTCTTCGTTTCAGATAACGGCGGCACACTTTGGATAATTGGAGCCAAATTAGGTCAAAATGTGCTCAAGAGAGCCCTGGATGTATCCAGTGCCTTTCAATGACCAGAATGCTAATAATCACATGCTGAGTATTCCATAAGTAGACAGGTTGAAAACCAGTATGCTGCCTTGCATGAGAGAATGTTTCAACCACAACTGGCATTGGGTGGTTTGAGGCTTCCGTATGTTTGGGGTTTTTTACTTATTTTTTATTATTTTGCCTTTGACAACCCACCACCAACAAACATACAAAACATATACATGAAATAAGATCGGATCCCTCTCCGGCTTTACCCACACTAAACTTTCTATGACTGTGAGTCCATCCACTCATAAAATTTTGGAAAGTTCCATCTTCCACATATTTTCAAAGTCAGATTGTCCATTTCTGCTATCTCTAAAGCCTTGGTTACAGAATCCTTCCGCGATGGACAATCTTCTTTCTTTCAATGTTTGGCAAGTATCATTCTTGCTGCTGTTACCAAGTGTGAACATAGGTAAGCATCTTCCTTCTTTAATATGTCTGGCATGCTACATAATAATAACATTTCAGGTTGAAACGGTAGGTTTATATTCAACATCTGCATTATAATATTGTGAATTTCTTTCCAGAATTTTTTAACTTTTTCACATGTCCACCAAACGTGATAAAATGAACCTATTTTAGATTTACACCTCCAACATTTATCAGAAGCACTTGAATAATAACATGCCAATCTATCAGGTGTTAAGTACCAACGGTGACACATCTTAAAAAGGTTTTACTGCCAGTTTGGTGCAGTGGTTAAGTGCGCGAACTCTAATCTGGGAGAACCGGGTTTGATTCCCCACTCCTCCACTTGCAGCTGGCTGGATGACCTTGGGCAAGCTGTAGTTCTGATAAGAGCTGTCCTTGAAAAAGAGCAGTTTCTGTCAAGAGCTCTCTCAGCCCCACCTACCTCACAGAGTGTCTGTTGTGGGGAGGGGAAGGGAAAGGAGTTTGTAAGCCGCTCTGAGACACCTTTGGGTAGTGAAGAGCGGGGTATAAATCCAGTCTCCTCTTCTTCTTCTACTGGGACCCTTTGGTCTTCCCCAGCACTTTCAGGAGGGCTTCTTTGACATCTTTGTTCCTCAGGCTGTATATAATTGGGTTCAACATGGGGTTTATCACGGAATAGAAGAGAGAAATCAGCTTGTCCTTCTCAGCCGAATTGCTGGACTGAGGCCTCATGTACGTAAACATGCCGCTCCCGTAGTAGATGGTCACCACGGTGACGTGGGCGGAGCAAGTGGAGAAGGCCTTCCGCTTACCGTCGGCGGAGGAGATGCTCAAGATGGCCGCCACGATGCGGACATAAGACAACAGGATCATGACAAGCGGGAGGAGCAAAGTGAACACGCTACCCGTCACCATCATGGCCTCATTCTTTGAGAGATCCTGTCCAGGACACGCCAGCTGAAACAGGACAGGGGCCTCGCAGAACAAGTGGTCTATGATGAGGTTGCACAGAGATCGTTTCAGGGCAAAGGAAGGAGCCACTGAGATTAGGAAGCTGCCAACCCATGCGCTGATCGCGAGGGAGACACAGACGGTCTTGTTCATCATCGTCGTAGTCGTGTAGTGGAGAGGGTGGCAGATGGCGGCGTAGCGGTCAAACGCCATCACCATGAGCAGAAAACACTCCGCCGCCCCCAAGAAAAGCGTGATGTACACTTGCGCCATGCAGAAATGATAAGAGATGGACTTCCTCGCCGCCAAAAAGTTGACGAGCATTTTGGGGACCACCGCTGATGTGTAACAGACGTTCAAGAAGGCCAGGTTGCTGAGGAAAAAGTACATCGGGGTGTGGAGGCGGGAATCGAGGCAGGTCAGGGCCAAGATGGAGAGGTTCCCAAAGAGGGTCAACGAGAAGATCAGAGACAGGACCACAAAGAGGACCATCTCCAGTTGGGGGCGGCCGGCAAAACCGAGGAGGATGAATTCTTCAATAACTGTGGCGTTCCTACTTCCCATTGTCAGAAGGGCCAGCCTTGAAGGGCAAAAGAGAGAAACGGTTACGTCTCCCAGAGAGTAAAGGAAAGCAGGGACATCTTGCCCAACAGAGCTACTCCATACAGAGAAGAAGAGATTGGATTTATACCCCAACCTTCACTACCCAAAGGAGTCGCAGAGTGGCTTACGATCTCCTTTCCCTTCCCCTCCCCACAACAGACACCCTGTGAGGTGGGTGGGGCTGAGAGAGCTCTTTCTAGGACTGCTCTTGAGATAACAGGTCTGAGAGAACCCTTCACTACCTGAAGGAGTCTCTGAGTAGCTTGCAATCTCCTTTCCCTTCCTCTCCCCACAACAGACACCCTAGGAGGTAGGTGTGGCTGACAGCACTCTTTTGAGCACTGCTCTTGAGAGAACAGCTCTGAGAGAACTTGTGACTGACCCAAGGTCACACCAGCAGATGCATGTGGAGGAGTGGGGAATCAAACCCAGTTCTCCCAGATCAGAGTCTGCGCTCCTAACCACAACACCAGACTGGCCTCTTTACTTGTATTGCGTTCAGGTCACTCTATCACAGCTAGAAAGCAATTTGGCAACTGCCCTCCAAATGTCTGAATTCCCTTATATTATGGGGGGGGGGAATAGATTTCTGGGAGTTCTATAGGATTTCCCCAGTTCAGGCTGGCAAGCAACAGCCAGGGCCACCTAGTTGTAAGTCTGAATTTTATTTCTATATAGTCGTTGCATTGGAGAGAAGGCAGCACGCTAGGGCCCAAACATGTCAGAAATTGGAAGCTAAGCAGGGTCGGTACTTGGAAGGGAGACCACCAAGGAATACTCTGCAAAGGAAGGTGGGGGCAAACCACCTCTTGATACTCACTTGCCCTGAAAACCCCTTGCTGGGGTTTCCTTAAATTATCTGTTGTGGGGAGGGGAAGGGGAAGGAGTTTGTAAGCCACTCTGAGACTCCCTTGGGTAGTGAAGGGCAGGGTGTAAATCCAGTCTCTTCTTCTTCCCCCAAATTTAACCAAATGACTGAATTGCCCCAAAGTCCTTAGCACTTCCTTACAAGAAATTTGGTTGTCATTTTGGTAGCCCTTTTCCATAAGTTCTTCAGTTCCCGCTATCTGCCCTTTTTGTTTGGGAGCGGGGGGGGGGGTAACATAGCTAACGAACTTCGCTGACACATGCGCCAAGCATGTTCCCAAGGCAAAACCCTGAAACCTCAGGGCTACACGTTACAGAGTTTCTGAGTCCCTCCCATCCTCTCACCTGAATGGGAGCTGGTAAATCCATGCCGAACCCTGATTCTCAGGCACGCAGGGGCCCAGTTTGTATAGGGATCACACCGCATGGGGAGAAAGGACTGTGGCAGAACCCCCAGTGGAACTGCCACAATGCCTACAGCTTGGAAATAAACCCTGCACATTTGGTGAAGATGTGACAAACATCAGATATTTTGGGGGGAAATTGCTAAAAAGTGTAAATCCAGTCTCTTCTTCTTCCCCCAAATTTAACCAAATGACTGAATTGCCCCAAAGTCCTTAGCACTTCCTTACAAGAAATTTGGTTGTCATTTTGGTAGCCCTTTTCCATAAGTTCTTCAGTTCCCGCTATCTGCCCTTTTTGTTTGGGAGCGGGGGGGGGGGAGGTTGGGGTTTTT